CTCCTCCCAAGGAAATCCTTGCCATGTCCCAACGCCGCATTAATGCCCTTTCTCATCGCCCAATAACCGCCCATCGTGCTCGCCCTATTCCCAACTCTTACTGGGCTACCTCCCAGCTTCTTGCCTGCGAGTATCCATGGACGCCCAAGAACCCTAATAAACCCAAGCTAGACGCCCTCCTGCGTGCAGGCGTGCGCACCTTCATCGACCTCACCGAACCAGGCGAGCTCATGTCCTACGCGAACGTTCTCTGCGTGCGTGCCGCCCTTCTCGGTATCGATACCTCCACGATCGAATATCACCGCTTCCCCATACGCGACCGGTGCTTACCCGAGTCCCTAGAGCACATGTACGGCGTGCTTGACGTGCTCCGGGACAACGAGGCGAGGGGCCGCATCAGTGCAGTGCACTGTCGCGGGGGCATAGGCCGCACGGGCATGGTCATTGGGTGCTGGCTCGTGGATAGCGGCCATGCGAAGAATGGGGAGGATGCGCTCAATGTCATCGCGAGGGAGTGGAGGACCGTAGAGAAGTGCACGCGATACCCCCATAGTCCTGAGACGGGGTCCCAGTTCGACTATGTCCTCAATTTTCACCCCAAAGCCGTCGCTAACGCCTAGTGAGTCTCTTGTCCTCGTTTCGTCACTTTGAAATTCTGATATCCTTTACAGTTGCATTTAGGTTTCCAGTCTCATTTCTACCATCACGCCCTGATACTGCTTTGCATTTTCCACGACCGCACATGGACTCTTACATTACATTACATTCTTCCTTCACTTGCATATGAACGCCGAGCCGTTCGACACATGGACTCCATCAGCATACTCCTTGTACATTTTCCATCGCTTCTTATAATACGCATTTACGTTATGATTGTTATCCTGCATAAATTAGACCAGTTCCCCAAGAGGCTGCATTGACTTGGCTCTCGCTGTGCCGTAAGGGAATTAATTTATAACTCCTTACAAAGAATTTTATAAATCAAAAATATTGCATAAACATGCCATGCTAAGCATCTTTGATTTAACCTGGACACCATATGGTTGACTTTCAGGCTTTTCACTACAAACCTCGATGATGAACTCTGGAATAAGTCGGCAAGGACTTGCTCTTCTCGCCCTCGCGCCTATACTCCTCACACTTAAGCGCTATTATCTGCGGTCACTTGCCCGGCGGACCCTAAAAGTGCTCAAGGGCGAAGAGCGCGTCCTTATCCTCGGTGCATCCAGCGGAATCGGCCAAAGCATCGCAAAACAATATGCAGAGCGTGGCGCACGCGTGTGTGTAGTGGGTCGAAGAGCGGATAAGGTTGCAGAAGTCGCAGAAGAGTGCAGGGCTAGTGGTGGCACGAGCTCGTCATCGCGTGTGCTCGGCGTCGTTGCAGACTTTGCGAACGTGGAAGATATGGTGCGATTGCGAGGTACTTTACAGAAGGGTGAGTATAATCTACATCTTCTGCTGAATCTGATTCAACCTTTACTTGGAAGAATGGCAGGGCGTAGACACAGTTGTCGTCGCAGCAGGCGTTTCGGCGTTACAGCCTTTAATGGCCGTAGCAGGAGTCGAGGCGGTAGCTGGAGACTCATTCTCACCTTCACAGGCTTCTGCGGAGGGAATACAACGCGCCGTGTCCATTTCTGAAGCTGCAACGCGCGGGAACTACACAGGGCCTCTCATAGCCGCTATCACTTTCGTACGTTCCGCCACCATTTCAATCATCATCACGACTTACCGCGTCCTCAGATTCCCCTCCTATCATCCTCTTCCCATGCCCCATCAATCCTCCTCGTCTCCTCTCTCGCTGCCGTCATCCCCGCACCAACACGCACCATCTACGCATCTACAAAAGCCGCGTCCCTCGTCCTTTACCAGGCCCTCTCCATCGAGCACCCGTCCATCGCATTCACATGTGTCCTACCGTCTACAGTCGAGGGCGATTTCCGCGCCTCGGCCG